GAGCCTCTAGTAATTTGGTGGTCGCATCGATCCAACTTCAATAGTCACACTCAAACTTGATCTCTAACAAACAATTATACCAAAGTTTCTTTGGGCACACCGACAGATTGTTAAATAGGATATCATAGAACAATTTGAATTTACAAAGCTATTATACCACGAATTAGCAAAAAGTAACTGTGAGGAGCTGTTTTTTTGCAGGAAATCAGATATGAAAACGAAATGAAAGTAATGTAACAAGCAAACCCTAGCCCCAGCAGGAATAAATACCAACGTGATCGAAAGTGGTCCTCTCCGACTTCATGCATGCATGCATATATATATATATATATATATATATATATATATATATATATATATATATATATCAACGGTTAATATGCAGCAGTTTTCTGCATACGACAGAACGTGTAAGTAATCCCAAGGCCAAAGAAGCACGATATGTACATCTTTTTAGGGCTCCATCAGTCCACTAGACAGTCTAAACCTAATAATTAGCCAGGACCATTGCCTGAATGTATTATTTAGTACAACAACAATTTCCATTACGCCACCACTTCTTAATCTTACGAGTTACGTCCAATATTGCTCACCAAGTACATGTCATGTCATTCTCTTATTTAATGAGAAAAAAAAGATTTCTCCGCATTCCTGTAACTGTGTTTATTTTTAACTTTTGAATAAATTTTTTTTAACAAATGATATTATATACATTAATAGGGTAGGAGAATAGACTAAACCTCACAATAGACTATCAATAATATGAGTTTAAATTCGCCTATGGCGAGAATTAAACCGTAGACCTCTCACTTACAAGTGAAGATGAATACCACTAAACAATAGTACTAAGTGACATTGAATTGAAATTAAATAAAAAGAAAATTAGGTAATAACACAAATATAAGCTTACTTTGTAGCTCATTTAATTTAAATAAGTAAGACTCTAGCTAATGTGTGCAGAGACAATGGATGCAACTTGGATAGGAATGTCCATTTCTGACCGATTTCAAGCAGAAATATTTCAAATATTCAGTCCGATTCAAATTTGAAACTGAAATTCCGAAATCCAAAATAATCCAAAATGAATATTATACAGGAATTGGAGTGTATTTAGTATTTCGAATCAAAACCGAAATTCAAAGACTTGAATATCTCTATTACCTATACTTAATTATGTACTTATTTTATTACGAAAAAAATGAACTTATTGACTTTGAATTTGTAAACAGTGTACTCAAATATGTAACTCTTTTTTCAATTACAACTCTGTTGAATATATTACATACACAAAATGAGAATTTAAAAACTATAGTACTTTATATTATGAAGTCATACAACCCCATAATTTGAAATTTTGAAATTTTGAAATAACCCATGCCGAAAATACCAAATTCGGCATGAGTTTTTAAAACTTTGATTCCAAAATTGAAAATGATATGCATTTTCAAAACTTTTTGTATTGGAATTTGACACATGTATTTCCGATCCGACCGATAATCATACCTAGTAGAGAGTCTAGAGACGCATCCATCATTTAAGATATAAACTCAATAAAAGAAATTGGTGCCCATGAGCATTTACATGGCGTGCATTGACATGACCTCCATGTGACATTTAATCGGTGTATTATCTGGTACAGTGAAGCAATTATATATAGAAGCACATATATACAGACATACACACTCGGAGTCGTTGGAAAATGACACACATAGTTGCTATATGCTTTGTCTCTGGTTCAATTGAATACATTAAGCAAGAGTTGGTGGCTGACCACCATCAAATTTTGAGTGCAATGTCAAAAACCAAGTAAATCAAAAGAGAGAGAAACTTCGAATTTTTTGAAACATGAGAAACTTACAACAACTACACCAAGTCTTCTGTAAGAGATGAGATAAAACCCTAATGAAACCCTAAATGCCAAGGAGGAGGAATCACCGATCACGCATTTGTGAAAGAGGGAGGTGATGATTCAGGTGAATATGTGCGGGATTATTATCTGATCACTAATTTGTCCAGAGGGGAACAAGTCTCGTGAAGCTGGAGAGGCTGGTCACGGACTCTGACGGGATAGGACTATGGTTGTGGGGCTTTACCATTTCTCAGGGAACATGCATGTATGTCTGTATATATGTTGGAGAATAATATCCCCTATAAGATTTGAGTTTATAGGTATCACCTCCCAAAAAATATGAAAAAAGTTAAAAGGACTACTGTGTTGTCCGAACTTAGTCCGAAGCACATTGCAGTAGGGTGACATGGGGTGTGCAGCAAAACAAGTGACAGCTGAAAGAGAGAATATTACCACCATTTCTATCTTGAAAGAAATTGGTAAAATTGGATTTCAGTGACCCATACTTTGTAGATGGTTTGGAAGTTAGGTTATTTCACTCTTAAAAAATAGAAGACCGGAGAATAACTTGCACAGATATATCGTTATTGTGATGTCCTATGCTAATGATATAGTTTTATGTGGAGAAAACTTACACATGATAGTATATCATTGACACATAACAAATTACTATGATGATGTATCCGTGCCATAGAATATTTTCTCATGTTCTACAATATGCCTAATGTGAAAAAAAAAATTACTTTAAGTGATGAGGTTAAAAAGCCATGATTATAGACATGAGTTCATTCAAGTTGGCTCGACCAACGTGTTACTTTTCTCACCTAAATTCAACTCCCTTTCCCTGTGATTGGATTAGGGCAAAAAAAATGAACCAACTATGGTGCTTGGAATTTCAACCTTGTGTGCATATAAAAGTTCCATTGGGCCAAGTACATAATTTGCTCCAAGCCTTAATAATAGTTCACAACTGTTGCCCCATAGTGCTGATTTCACTATCTTTTCTACGGCACTAGTACAAATAACAGTTTGCGCGACTAAACATAGTTCATAACCCAAAGTCAAAAAACGTCGCCAGAATATTAGCCCAATGAAAACTTCGTCATGCATAAAACGTCGCTCAAAGGTCGTGAAGACAAGGTTTGCGCGATGACAATACTGCGTTGCGGAAAGACCTTTGCGCGATGACATACCTACATTGCTCAAAAGTTTTTGCGCGATGCAAGTATTGTCGTCGTTGCGCAAACCCCTTTTTTTTTTTTTCTTTTGGACAAAATATTTTTTATTTAATTTTTTATAAATATTTTAATTAAATTATAAACAATAATTAATAAACCAAGAAAAAATATTTAATTATAAAAGATATGAAAGTGTACATACAAGCTGTCCGAACATAAAAGAAAAAAACTACAACAAGTAGTCGTCTGGGTTTGATGCATCAGATTACTGGGTATCGGCTGAGCGAAGTGGTTGGGAGGTCGAAGGTGGAGCAATATTAGGTGCTACCATCAGGATTTGGAGGCCGGACATCTATAAGGTATGTAGGATCATGCTCATCTTCTCGTCTTGGGCCGAAAATTGGGCCGCAATCTGGGCTTCCCGAGCATCTCGGGTTGCTTCCTGGGATTCAATATTATCGTGTAGGGTTTCCACTTCCTCTGTCAGGGCGATGACCTGTCTTGTGGTCGGTCTGAAAGAGGAGGCACCCATCTCACACTACAAAACAAACTATCGTTAGCGAGGGTCAAATGTTGTCGAAAAAGGCATTCAACCTCAATAGTAAATAGAAAATTGCACATATATAGCCCACCTTAAGCAGAATTTATGTCACATCCTCATAGCTAGTCACATATTCCTCAGTCAGATTATCAACATAAAATATTAATACAATGAATGAACTCGATCTTTAATTTAAAATATTTACACTAGTGGATACCACAAAATCTTATGTTATACTTAATTAAAGTATAAATAAACTCTAAGTGTTAGTGAATCTATTGTTTTGACGGGGTACGCATTCTACGAAACTAGTTTCAACGATCCAACCGTCAAACTTGTTTGTATATACTTCGAGATCGCATATGCCAAAAATCACAAAAAAACAAACATTCAAAAATCAAGTAAAGAGACGAAACTTTTCAATGGTTATAAACAAAAAACCACGATTTAATAGTTATTTTAACTCTGATTGCAATGATTTTTTTTCTTCAGAAAATTGCGACGGACCAATCACGTCCCGCAAAGGCTCTTTACACAATGGAGAATCATAACGTCATGCAAAGGGTGTTTGCGTGACACATTTGTCTGTCGAGCAAAAACTCTTTGCGCAACGCGGTTGTTCCATCGTGCAAACACCCTTTAATTGAAGTATTGGTTGGTACTTCACGCAACACGCATGTGGTCTGTCTCGCAATTTTCTGGCGTCAAACTAAGGCTTTTACCGTTTTTTTCCCAACATTGTGCAACGAAGGTACACCTTCGTTGGCTAAACAGTTTTGCGCGACGGAATGCTTCGTCGAGCAAAGTCCCGTTGCGCAAAATGTCCTTGGGTAACGTTTAGTTGTCAACGTTGCGCAAAATGTCCTTGTACAACGTAATTTGCTCCATCATGCAAGTTTTCGTCGCGCAAGTGTGTTTTTGTACTAGTACGGGGATATTTTGTTTAGTGGGAAGAGTCAAGGCAGGTGGACAGTTGGTTATTTCTTTAGTTCATATCATCCAAAAATGTATGTACAAATGTACAAGATTTGCCTTCTTCAACTTGCCAGCCGTCATACTCTTCACAAATGCGCATGCTTTCCTTTGAGCAAAAGAAAAAGTCATCATCTGATTTCTTTATGTTTATGTAACCCAATAAAGGATAAGCACTCTTTTGTAACAAAAATAAAATAAAATAAAATAAATAGGCGATCTCTTTCTTAATGTTTCTTGTTAAGTAAACCAAAACCTAAATTTATTCAATCCCAGACATTGACGAAAGATGGTTGGAAAATTAGGAAAACCAAAATTTGAACTTAAAAGTTTTCCAACCACCAATCTCTGAAGTGATTCTACTGACTTCCAATCCAAGAATATTAAAATTTTATCAGATTTGGCATATACCTAATGTCTAAGGTATGCAATCACATTGCTTGCAGCAACAGAATAACATATACTTCAAAATTTCCTACTCTTGGCTTGAATTTAATATCACTTTTGTTTGGACTGCTATGAAACCACCACCAATCTCGAGCGAACACCGATCAAACCCTAACATTTCAACTTTTCCATGATTTCAAAACTTATATTTGCAGGCATCAATCACAAATGTTAGCTTTCTTCTAGTCAACCCATGAGTTTTACAGTGTATGTACTAAGTACGAAAAGTCATCAACGTGATGCATTGAACATATATACTTCTTAATGCTTTCTAGATTTTTTCGAGGAGTTTATATAAAGAAGGCAATAAGGCTCATCCTCCCCACAAGGATGCTTGGTGTGAAGAAAAAGATGGATAGCAATCATAGCATAGCCAAAAAATGGAAGCACCTAAGCGGCGAAAACAAATGGGACGGGCTATTGGATCCTCTAAACATTGATCTCCGTCGATACATAATCCACTACGGAGAAATGGCTCAAGCTACTTATGATGCCTTCAACTCAGAGAAGACATCAAAGTATGCTGGAAGCAGCAGATATGCCAGAAAAAACTTCTTCTCCAAAGTTGGTTTAGAGAAAGGCAACCCTTTTAAGTATAATGTGACTAAGTTTGTGTACGCAACGTCGCAGATTCAAGTCCCTGAGGCCTTCCTCATTAAGTCTTTGTCAAGGGAGTCTTGGTGCAAGGAATCAAACTGGATGGCGTATATTGCTGTGGCTACAGATGAAGGGAAGGCTGTGTTGGGGAGGAGAGACATTGTGATTGCTTGGAGAGGCACTGTGCAGTCCTTGGAGTGGGTTAATGACTTGCAATTTAATTTGGTTTCTGCGTCAAACATACTTGGTGAGGAAGGTGATCCGAAGGTGCACCAAGGTTGGTACTCCATATATACTTCAGATGATTCACGCTCGCCTTTCAACAAAACCAGTGCCAGACACCAGGTAAGATCACATTCAATTTGAATTAACAGTCTGTAACATAACATGAATGCCAATTTTGGTAAGACAATATTACACGTAAATGAGATAATTTTTAATTTTTAATGTTATTATGACTACTGGGTTTTATGTATCTAGGTCATTGAAGAAGTTATGAGACTAATAGAGCAATACAAGGATGAGGAAATTAGTATCACCATAACAGGGCATAGTTTGGGTGCAGCAGTTGCCACACTAAGTGCAATTGACATTGTTGCCAATGGACTGAACAGGCCAAAGGACATGCCAAACAAAGCCTGCCCAGTTACAGCCATTGTGTTCGCCAGCCCTCGAGTTGGAAACTCGAACTTTGAGAAGGTCTTCTCTGGCTACAAAGATCTTCGAGCCTTGCGCATTCGTAACGCTTTAGATGTTGTCCCTAACTACCCAATTTTATTGGGGTACTCTGACGTGGGAGAAGAGTTGAAAATCGACACGCAAAAATCCAAGTACCTGAAGAGTCCTGGAGGAGTAGTGAGTTGGCATAACATGGAAGGGTACTTGCATGGAGTTGCAGGAACCCAAGGGAGTAAAGGAGGGTTCAAGTTGGAAGTCAAGCGTGACATAGCACTGGTAAATAAAAGTGTTGATGCTTTGAAGGAGGAGTATCTTATACCGGCGTCGTGGCGTTGTGAGAAGAACAAGTGTATGACTCAACTGGAAGATGGTTCTTGGGTGCTCAAGGACCATGAGGAGGATGATGATCAATTCTGATTACTTTAGATTCTTGATTTCTTGAGTGGATTTATATTTAGAAGATATCAGTTCTGTGTGTGTCTTGGTTGCTCTGTCACATGATATATATGTTGGATTTGGCATTAAATCAACATGCCTAAACTAAAACAAGAATCAAACAAGGATTATGATATCTTGGATGCAAGATATTTGGATTTGTGTTTCCTAATTGGTTTGGGATTTGGTTTTAGTATAGGATTTGGTTTCCTATATTCTAGGGACTTTGTGTAAACCTATGACATCTATTAGTATAAATAGATGGATGTGGGATAGAGTTTTGTGTGAAAGTTTGTGAGAGGCATAAGTTTGTATACTTGAGAACACTATGTGTTTGTGAGTTCTCTTGTATTTATTAATAATCAATAAAGCTTCTGTTGTTAGAGAGATACTCCTATATTGGAGGAACTTTGAAATTGTTGTGTTTTGTTTTACTTGATTGTTTTTTGGTTTAGTTTACAACAATATAAGTGGGGTGTTTATTTGAAATGTTAGTTGTCCTAAAACCTTGGAATATTTGACTTAATTCATTTGTATAAAACTAGACATAAAAATCAAAGATATAGCATAAATTTGTGTTTCGTTTGTGAAATATTAAGGAAAGGTTCGCAACTTAAATGATTAAAAACATTTATTCTACATCTATACATTTGAAATTTAGTGTTCAATTTTTCCTTCCCTCAATATAATTTATAACAAAAGAAACGAAAAGTGAAATATCTGCATGCTCCAAGTACCTTATATTAAAAAAATACCGTGTAGGCTTGAAGCTAGCTAGTGGGGACTGCTAAAATTACTAAACTTGGCAGCGATGGAACAATGTTGCGATAGGCTCCTTCTGTTAAGTAAATTCCATCCCAATTTGCATACAAGTATGGATGCTTGCCAGTGGTTGAGCTGGGCTTCCACACGTTGCTGAACTATTGAAATTGTACGATCCTCGCCCTCCAACAGACCGTTAGAACACTTCTGAACCCTGCATCTGTATTATGTATAATGTCAACACAATTTAATACACTGCTTGCATCTCACTACTTATGTTAATTTATTTAATTTTCGGCCCATAAAAGCGACAACAAAAAATTAAAAGATGAAATTGGAATGGAAATTTCAAAACTTTTAGCATGATCAAATTAGATTGAACAGATAACTCCTTCAAAGTTTACTTCTCTTCAGCATTCGTTTTGGGTAATATAGTTCTTTCCGTTTTGTAAAGAAACAACAGAGGGATTAGAATTCAACGGGGATGTAGCTCAGATGGTAGAGCGCTCGCTTAGCATGCGAGAGGTACGGGGATCGATACCCCGCATCTCCATTTAATTCTTTTTTTTTTTTTTTTTATCTTCTCACGACCAAAACAAGAAAGTATCAAAGTCAACCATACTTTTTGTGGTAAGCAAACCCGGAAACGAAAATTGGACCACCACGAGAAACATGTCTTTGTGGTTCAGTCTGTGAAAGAAATGGATTTTACAGAATACTGAACTAGTTGTACTCTAGTAGTTAGCTAGATTAATGTCCCTTTGCTCACTACTACTAACATGAGAAAATAGGCTGTCATTGAAGTGTCTCTTGTGTCTACAACACTCGTCACAGTAGTGTTAATTGATTCTTATTACAAGGTAAGGAGAAATTTTAGAATCTGACTTTCGGACCACGTGTTCATGCGGACTCTAGACATAAAACCATGTAATAACCCCACCCTCCTCAAACCAACCTATAACTCACCACCTCTGCCACCTACACCCAAGACCATCTCCAAAATGGGGTTAACCATTTAAATTGGCGATTTGACGACTCAAAGAGAAAGCATGACATATGGTTGTGTTTGGGCCCAAAATAATAGTTTGGGCCGAGGGTAAGATCACTCTCGGCCCGGGAGGCCGGGTGGTGAAAGGGCCATGGATCGTTCAGCTCATGGGCTTCCAAGCCTAGGTCGGTTAAATCAGAACGCAAGCCGAGTCCTAGTACAATAGGGACTCTCGACGGGATCAGTAATCCAGAAAGCGAATCCGGCTCAATTAAGGACTAGATTCGTAGTCCTAGTGGAGATAGGATTGGTTGAGGTGATGTTGATCCAGAGAGGGAAACCTAGTCCGAATAGGATTGTAACTCGAGCTCGAGGACCAGCGCTATAAATAGGGGAAGCTGTGCATTAAGGAAGCCCCCTGCAAATCAATACAAAATCGCACCCTTGCGCAAATTCTCACAACTTGTGATTTTTCTTTTTCCTTTTTTCGCTGACACATCTTCCGTTGGCATCAACAGCACTGTGGAAGCAACCGGTGATATCTTAAGTCGGCATAGATAGCTCTGTCACCGTAGAATCAGTCGGTCTCGCAGTACCTTCCGTTGGCATCAACAGCACTGCGGTAAGAACGACCGATTACCTATCCAAGTCTCGGTCGAGAAGGATTTCTGAATCCTTATTGGTCGAGGTCATCTCATCAGCCTTCTTGGCGAAGTGAGGTGTTACGAGTTATTACATTCGGCACATTGAGGGCCGAATTTGATATTGAACTTCGTGAGAATAGTAACCTTGTCTTCAGGTTCGAGAGCCCAAGAGGCCAAGACGTGTTCCTTTCTTGGCCGCAATCGCAAGACGCAAAAGTCAGTAGCGCGACCCAACGCAACATCAACAAATTTACTCCTCGGCCGAGCTCGGCCGACGAGTTGGCACACCCCGCATTCACCGAAGGACGTAGTTAGCTTATTAATTACTCGGCCTGCGCGCCACGTAGGCTTTGTAGTTTCTAGGGTCAACAGGTTGATACTTCTTGACTTTGAGTTTAGATAAGGCCAATCGTATTATAGACAAATCAATCAATGTACCATTTGTAATTTGTCTAACGCGATAATTAACCATTGTATAAGTTAGAGGGGCTGGTAAACGGCCATGGATCAAGCTTATTTTATTTTTGTTAGTATGGATGTTTTAACGTCAAAAGAGATTTCAAGTTTGAACTTCGCATTTCTTTTCAGTTCATTAAAACAATAATAATCATATGATGAAAATGAAGTAAATGATCATATCTATAAGCAGGGTGATGTGATCACATGTACTGGACGCATAGAGCCTAGGGGTGTGCGGTAAAATGGCCATGGATATAGTCTTGTGTTTGATGTTAGAAGAGAATCAACTTCAAAACCCTTGTCTCCCAAAAAATAAATAATTATACAATAAAGGTAATTAAGCAACGACCAATCATGTATAGGGTAGACAAGATAAAAATAGCCACGAGTCAAACTCTCTTTATAACTTTGGAAGAAATCTCAAGTTCAAACGTCACGTTTTTTATTTATCAAAGTACACGATCAAGACGAAGTAACTAATCACATATAAGCTAAATGGGTTTTGTAAACTGGCCATGGATCAAGCCCTCGGCAATGTAGCGATAAGCAGCTTCTGTTAAGTGAATTCCATCCCAGTTTACATAGGAAGATGGATCTTTACAGGCAGTTGATCCTATGTGTCCACACCTTGCTGAATTATTGAAATTGTATGGCCCTCCTCCTCCACAGCATGCCCTTAGAGTCCCACTTTTGAATCCTGCAAAAATTCAATCAAAAAATTACGATACTTAATACGAATATATAAAAATCTTAATTTTGATTTAATTCAATAAATAATTTCATACTTGTTGATTGATGAATGATTTTTTTTTTTAAATAAATGTAATATATTTTTTTCCCACAACATATAAATGTAATATATAGAACTTACCATAATGTTGAGGGGCATGGAAAAAGGGCATGGCTGCGCCATAGTAGTCAGCATATATTATATTTGCATGAGGGTATTTCTGTCTAAGTGTTGCTAGGGCACGTTTGAGCTCACTGTTATGGTATTTGGAGAAAGCATTGAAAGCCTTCAAACACCCATTTCGTTTATCATAATAAGCTCTGTTAGTGGTTTGAAACAAAGTCAAATACACGGCTGAACATCCAATTGGCAAGTTTCCAGGCACCAACAACTCCACTGCTCCTTCTTCTATCAATGCCTGCCACAAGTCCCCAACTAATTAGGTCAATCATGTAACAAATTTTTGTGTACAATGACTTTTAATGACTAATATATACAACGATATAAGTATGAGACGCTTATCCGTATGTAGGTAACTACATACTGTTAGATGCTAGTACCAAACGTACTGCATGTGTGTGATTATATATTGTTGATGCATGACGTGACGAATCTTATATACGATGACTTATTGACTGTTATTGATATATTATTACTGATGTGACATACACTGGTGGCGTTAGTAATTGCTCCAACAACGTATGGTACTGAAGCTTTGAGCTGTTCCATGTTGCCACCGACAAAGAAAGCGTAATTGTAATCGTTTCCACCTATCTCCCCCACCAAAAAGAGAGTCTTCTTGAAGTAGTTGTCACACTCTGAAAAATAAGTAAATAAATAAATGTGAATTAAGTCAGTAATTTAGATTACAGATTGAATTGTTACCTTGTTTGGTTCTGCAAAGTGATGGCTTCAGCTTCTTGAACCAACCAAGCTGAGTGCTCAAAGAGTCATTCGTCCACAACTGGTCCGATTTTTCTTTGGTAGAAGAATTCTGGGTCAAGTGCAGTGGCTCCAGCAACAGCAAAGTTCACTCCATGCTGAATATCTTGGGTTTTGTTCAGTGCTAGGTAGGGTGGCAAAAGTGGCAACCCAAATGCCTCAACTAAAACAGTATCAAATGATTTATTATCATATGTCTGTGTTGCTTTTGGAGTTGTTATTAGCATGCAGTCCGTTAAAGAGCAAATTTATTCATACCAGTTTTATTGACATAAATTGTGTTTACAGAAAGTAACTGACAAATTAAGGGAGGAGGAGGGAGAGGAGAGAGTTACCAATGAAATCGACGACAAGCCGTCCATCGGAGCAGCGACCGGTTGCGTGTTGAAAAAAGGTCTCTCCATAAGGGAGCTTTCCGATGACGGGAAATGCAAGGGCACCGGAGAGAAGGAAATTTCCGGTGTCGCTGAGGGAGTCGCCGAAGTTGAATATTGCCTGGTAGGGTTGAAGACTTGATGAGACTAGAGTGCTCAAACACAACGTGAGGCATAAAGAGGAGACTACAAGGATATTAATCAACTTCATTTTTTAATGTTTTGCCAATTCGATCGGAGTTTGTTTGTGTTCTTTTTTAATATATACTATTTTTTTTCTAGCTACATGCATGGTTAATGATGCTTTTTAGCAGTTGGAGCTTTAAATCTTGTACAAGTATATTCAACTAGATATTTGGCTGAAGTGTGTATGCCATTTATAGCGGCGGTCCCGTGAGTTATAAGCAGGAGCACAAGTGTCCTCATTACGGGTACAACGGACACTAAAACAAAAATGGCTTCAACACCATTGATATTCAAATGTGGTATACTAAGATTACTCTAAACTGTATAGCATTGAAAAGAATTTAAGCTTATTTTATTGTTGTTTCCAAAAAAAAAAAAAACAAAAAGTTATTTTATTGTTTGGATTGTCTTGTGAGTTTGTGATTTGCGCCTAGTTTCATTTCCTTGCCTAGCTATTAGGCAATCTCCAACTGAAGGCTGGCCAAATGACTCGTTTTAGACCTCTGGTCCTCCAAGATATTAATATTTTAATGAACAGTACATGGTCATATTTGCCTCCATCTCCAACTGAAGGTCAAAGGGCCATAGAGCTCATTTTAGCCCTATCACAAAAAACCGTCTCCAACCGAGGGTCATAGGGCCAAACATAATTTATTATTTAAAAACTACAACTTAAATTCAAATTTAAATCCAACGGCTAAGTACTGCAAAAAACTACAACATAATTTATTATTTAAAAACAACAACTTAAATTAAATTCAAATTTTGTAAAATAGAAGTTATAGGGAAAAAAAATTTAGAAAAAATATAAAACAAATTTTGTAAAATAGAAGTTAAAAGAAAAAAAAATTGTGTAAAAATAAATAAAATTGTAAAAAAAAAAAGGCTAGCTGACGTCAACTAGCAATTGCATTTGAACTTTGGCCTAGAATTCCTGTCGATTATATTCGACAGGAATGCAAGAATTTCTGGCCCAGCCTGGGGCTGGCTAGATTGGGCCAACCCTCTAGCCCTTTGGCCCTTTCAGATTCCGTGGGGCCCACAAGCCCTCTGGCCTAGCCCTCAGTTGGAAACGATTTTCGAGCTATTTTCGGCCATCTAGACCCTTCGGTTAGAGATGGCCTTAGAGATTAGGGCTAGTTCTATATTGATATGGTGTTCTGTAACTCGGTTCATAACAAATTAGTCACAATGCTGTCTTTTAATTTGTAGTTGTCATGGTAATATTTCTTTTCAGCTAATAAAATTATTGAAGTGTTTGTAGTTGATTTCTTCAATTTTGGTTTGTTATTCCCCGTTTGTTCTTCACACTCTGATTTTCAAATCATACATCCAACACTAAAGCCTCCATGAACTAAGTTGAATCCTCTATATATCAGAGTTAGTAAAGTTTGTTGGAAATTTTGAGTAGAAGTTTCATTGTCCCACATTGGTCACTACCAAATGGTTTCCTCACTTTATAAGGTTTCGTCCCTTATAGAAAGTGATTTGAGTGATAGACCATAGAGAATAAAATTGGGCTCAACCTTGGAGTTGGGCTTTGCGGTGTACTAATTAATTGATAATAGTATTGGGAATTGTAATTGGCACTCCAAAAATCTCATTCCACACTCCAAACTTTCTATATTTGGAAAGAAAAATACACTTTTGAGGAATGTAGAATGAGGCTTTTGATGTGCCAACAACACTTCCCTTAGTATTGATATATAATTAATTATCAAAAGATGAGCCTTAGGAATTGGAGCTCTTGAACTCAGGCTCTAATAATTAAATTCTTTAATTAATTTCAAATTTAATTATTTATTTATTTATTTTTTACTAACAGACTCATCTTTTTAGATGAAGTCTGATGAAAGAACACAAAGAGCAAAGCACCCATATGAGAAAATTTCTCCCAACAGACGCATTTCATTCTCATACATGTTGCAAACATGCATACATATACTATATATACATTCATCTGCATGGCATTTAGAACACAGAAAATGAGAATTCTTCTTCTACAATCCCAAACATTCTTACTGAGAGAACCGCAAAGAAATTCGCCAGAAGTCAAGTTTTCCAGTGCTGGAATTCTGACTTGATCGTTGAATCTTAGTGAAGCAGATGTCCGTAGAACTACAAGCATTGCGTAGGGATGAAATTTCTGTTTCAAGAACATTGCGGTACGCAAGCCTCAATCTTTGATTTGTCTGTTTAATATTATTTTGTTTTGTTCATACTCTGTTAAACTATTTGTTCGCATTTATTATTTATTAGCGTATATAAATTTATCATTGATTGTTGATATTTATCCACATAAAAAGTACATACGTGTATATATACCATCCAATTTGGGTATATATAGTACAATTTCAAAAATCATGTAAGTTAACGAATTATACAGAACCATAAGAAACTAATAAAACTATTTTTAAAAAATAAGTACGTATAATATGCGTATCATACACTAATTTACTAACTAGGGTGTACATCAAATTGGGACGTGGAGTCTCTAATTCAATCTTTGAAACTTATATTTGGTTGACAAAGAATAAAAACGTGTATGTATTTGGGAAATGAAATTTTATTTTAGTGCTTGGAGGCTTCTTTTTTTTCGTTGTTGTCAATAGACACTTCATTAGCTAGAAAGGGGCTAGAGCTGAAAAAGAAAAAGAAAAGCAAAACAAGCAAGGTTTAATTTGGGATATGATGGCTTCAATTGGAACATGGAGGCTCTAATAAGGAAGAGGTTTCTATGGATTCACTTTGTAGGGGTTTTAGGGATTTTCACATCTTAGCCGTTTATCGTATATCGTGCGATCAGTTTTTGTCAGATACTATTTCTGTTTAATTTTTAAATAAAAAAAGTCAAATAATTTCTGACCGCACGATACACGATAAATGGCTAAGATGTGAGAATCTCTAAGGGGTATCATTTGGTACATGGAATGGGATGGAACGTCATCGTCCCACGTTTGGTGCACTAAAGACAGTGGGATGCGCTGTCCCACAGAACGAATTTTGGTTAAATTTCCGTTCCACCTTCCCCTTGAACCGACTCATTCCACCCCGTGGAACACAAAATTATAAAATTTTAAAACAAAAATGCCCCTTATCTTTTTCAATATTTACACCATCTAAATCATAAAACAACCCTAAAATTATATCATCTTCTTTCCATCTTCTCTACTGCTGCCTTTTTTTCCCCTTGGTCTCTCGCAACCTTCCTCCTCATCCTCTCCCGTAGCCTCTCTTCTCTCTTCCCCACGGAGTGGAACTCAAAGCTCTGCATCTCCAGGTTTAATCTTGCTCTCTGTAGATCTTTGATTTTGCTTTTTTGTTTGGGTTTTACTTTTTCGTTTTCTTGATTTTTCTATGGAAAATAGGATGATTCTGAGAAAATAAGTTAGTTTTCTTGGTTTCACTGGTTTAACTTGTGCTTGGGAATTGTATTTGATAAGTGGTCTGCTTGTGGTTTGATTTTCAGTTTTCCTTTTTTTTGGAAAGGGGGGGGGGGGGGTCAGATTCCTGTATAGTGTCAGTTGGATGGTTATATAGTAACTAATTCTCAGCATTGCTGAATTGGGTGTAGAGTGCAAGGACCTTCGGGAACTTCTTTTAGTATGTTAAATCTAGGTTCTGTATTTTTGTAAGATTTTGCAGAATTGTATTTTAGTAGGATTTCTTGACATTTTCGTATCCATATTCCATGTTAATTGTGACACCCTGGGCATTTGTGTGCTTCTTTGCATATTTGGAAATTCATGATACAAATCTTGTGGTAATAAATCTCTATCGACCTTTTCCATGGAGCGTTGTTTTTTAACATAATTATGGAGCAATTAAGGAGGGCTTTAAAGAATTTTTGTTTGTAGTTTTAATTTCTGCTGGTGCTCTTAAGAGGTATATTTAACATTTGGAATAGATGTTTGAGATAATACATTACGCTTCGAAGTTGGAACACAAAAGAAATACTGCTTTCTGAAGAACATTTTTGTAGTAGTATAGTATAATTAGTTAATTATTTTTTATCCTCTCATTACGAATATTAAATGTATTTTTTTTCAAAAAGTACTTCATGTATCTTTTCCTTGTTGGAATTAAGTCTTTAACAAGTATGATTTCTCCTGGTTTAAATACAGGTTCAGTTTTTATGTTATGCATATATGTTAAACGTTCTTAGTCTGACTCTTACGAATGACTTTCAAATTGAATTTTACAGAGATTATTTATGAAAAGAAGTGCGGATAAATATGTATACATTAATCCTGATGTGGAAAGTTAAATTAGATTGTTTCTCTTACATTAAGATGATATGTAAAATGATCTAAATTGTATTGTTTTAGGATAATGCATTTTATAGCAGATGCATTAATTTGTCCTTTTCATATTAGTGACATTTCTACTCAAACTGTAATTGAAAGATTAAAAGACATGGACTTTAGTTTATGTAAAATATATAAAAAATCTGGATCTGAAAAATTCTTTTGAAATTGTAGTCATTGTCCTCCTGCTTGATACCAGGAAGTTTGTCATGAAATCTTAGTTTTGTCCCCTAAATGGAAAAGCATTTTATCTAGTACTACGATGTCCATCCTTGAAGCTTCAGAGGCAAGACTAATTTTCTAATCTTCTTTTTCTAAGATTTTGATAGACAATTCTTTCTTCAGAGCATTTCACGGGTAACTGTACATATTTTCTATGCTCAATGAACTGGTAGATGATGAAGTTTCTAGTGAATCATATTGTTCTAATGATGAATTTAGTGTTCGTTTCTATTTCACATATGTAACCTCCATTGTCCCTCTTTGTGTCACTCTTTTATTAATTTTGTGAGACCTCCGAAATGCCTCCGACTTCACCTACCCCATCTCCTTATGTTGCTACATCTAGTGCATCTCAACCTATTAGGAAGAGGAAGAGGAATAGGAATGATGCTGATGCAAATATTGTAGTTGTTATCAGTGAAAGTTGGGATAAAGCAGTTACTGAAATGAAGAAGTTAGGTGAAAGTTTTACTTTCTAAGAAGCGAAAGCCAGGTTACCTTCTGAGCTTCAGGCCATTGGTCTCTCATACGATCAGATGCTAAGAATTTCAATGAAGTTAGTGAAAGATACCAATCTGATACGTATTTGGTGTACTTGGATGACTCACACAAGTCAAATTTAGCATTTGGGGTGTTTAGTATGATGAACTATATCAACGTTTAGTGCTTTCATTATTGCTTTAGCAAGACATTATCTTTTTTTTTTTTTTAAATCAGGACGAATGTTTAATTTTGGATATTTCATGTTTAAGTTCTAGATATATATTTCATTTTCTTTGGTTAAGTTCTAAATGTTTAAACCTAAAACATTTACGACAAGCATGATCATTAAACTTGTATATTTTTCAACATTACATGACAACCATGACCATAGACAGCCAATCCTCTCACAGCTCAACTTATACTATACAAATTGTTTGAATGTTATATAATATATATACAATCTTACTCATACTTATTGTTTTGATTAAGAATGAGGACCAATGCATGCTTATGCTTTTCCTACGTTATCAGGGAAATATCAGGGCAGCTACAAAGAAGCGCTAGAAATGGCTGCAGAGAAGAAAAGATGCACCCTTGCTATTTCATATTTTCAATTTTCTCGACTTACACACGGTACGAATGTATGAACACAGGAAAGTCCATATCTGCCAGTAGTGTTAGTGTAAAAAATATATCATAGATAAGCATATATGTGTTCAAATATGAACAAGTTCCAAAAAAAAATTTGTCTCATCCCGTCCCATGTAGAAACATTGTATAAACAACAGACGGAACATGAGTAAGTTAATCATTTAATCTTTTGGTTTTGTGCCGTCATGCGCTTACCAAACGCAGAACGGAACAATTGTCCCTTTCCGTCCTGCGTGTACCAAACATAATACAGAACCTCCGTCCCGTCTATGTAACAAACGGTACCTAGGATCCCCACAATTTGGATCCGGATGGGATCCAAATCCCTCTAATAATTCACCCGATCAAATTAATGAAAGAGCAATGCTAAGTAGACTAAATTTATAAATTAAATTATGTGATACTAATAAGAAATAAGGACGTTAATAACACTTAACTAATATTAACTCAATCATCAACTCCCATGTCTTTACAACATTAGTCTACAAATTTAGTCCCCCTAACATTAGCATTACCCTTAATGAATGGTTTTTTTTACATGATACAAGTGACATGTGTGGAGGGGGATTTGATGATAACATTACCACCGTTGCAAAGCTAAACGCGCTTAATTACTTGAAGTATAAGCCCCTTAACCCAAAATAACTGAAAATTTGTTATTAGCCCTTGAAACTATATTTTTCCTCTACTAAAACCCATCTCTTTTTTTTTTTTTTTTTTTTTTGAATAAAGCCCATTGACTAGCCTCCAACTAAACAAATTCTTTAATTAAGTTTGACTTTTTAAATTGTGTATTTTTTGAATGCCTAAACTACCCCTATTAATGCTTGGATGGGGTTTTTGGATAAGTTACTTGTTTTATCCATTTAATTAATTTTATATATTTTACAAAATAATTCATGCCATTTATTGTATATTCAATGTATCGACTTTCAAATTGTTATAACGTGCCAATTGAAAAATAATAATACTAATTTCATAATTTTGTGCATTAAATATATAAGTTAATTTACCTACCAACACAAGAATAAACCCAAAATAGCTTCGGCTAATACTCCAATCCCTAATACACAAAACAAAAGCGATATGTTCCATGCAATTTTTACCTACAAAATAGTCTAATTTACCTATTCCATCAAACCAAAATTTAAAGGGTCTAATTTACTTCCAAAATGGTCTAATTTACCTACTTGATTTAATTGCCTACAAGCACAAACCCACAACATTCGAACATTATCTAATATCACTATTTTTTTTTTTGGAATAGGTAAATTAATTTAAATGTAGGTAAATTAGTATAATATTTTATAAGTAGGTAAATTAATTTAAATGTAGGTAAATTAGTATAATATTTGTATGTAGGTAATTACATGATTCAAAATGCAGGTAAATTAGTATAATATTTTATAAGTAGGTAAATTAATTTGTATGTAGGTAATTACATGATTCAAACAATATTATTTTTTCCATACAAGATATGTCTTTTCTTTTTTAATTTGGTAAATTAATTTATATATGTTGCTAATATTTATGATACAAGAAAGGTAAAATATCCATATGGATTTAATTGGTCATCATAATTAGGATGAGTAATAACATTTATTGACCAAATTAGGATTTTGTGGCATAAGTTGTAAATGTATTGTAATAGTTGGTCATATATTTGTCTACATGGTAGACTATTTGAAATTTGGGTTTTATTTGAATGTTTAAATTTAGGTGGGTTTTTATTTTAAAAATAGGAGTTTCAAGGACCTATATCTAAAGAACCCTTAAAATAATTATTGATGGGATGTAAGTCTACCAAGTGACATCACCAAATGGAACAAGATAATTTCTTGTGTGATATGAATGGCAAAATAAATCGGACTTGGATTCTCTGCCCTCCCAATTCGGTGCACTTCATGTGCCTTCTGTTTGTGTGGTCACGGTTAAGTCACGTCAATATTTTATATTACTATTTTTTTTTTGTCTTATTATTTTTATAAAAAACAATATAAAATGTTAGCATGGATTAACCGTGACCACACAAAACAGGAGGGCACGGGAAGGGCACCGAAATGGAAGGGCAGAGAATCCAAGTCCAAATAAATCTGTAGGCCAAATCACTGTTGTGAAACAGAGGAGGTACTAATGTGGGGAATGGTGTAAATTCCATTTAATAAGGCCTTGGCTATCCACTGGTTTGCTGCTTCAGTAGTGTGCCGACCGTCCCAGTTGATAGACTTTGCAGGGTTTGCACAAGCACGTGATCCTGGAAGACCACATAGTGCTGATAAGTTGAAATTGTACGTCCCTCCTCCTCCACAGCATGCTCTGGAAGTATTCTCGGTAAATCCTGCAATGAGATGAATCCGATGATTTGATCACCGAGAGGATCAACATTTGAAACACTTCAAATAATCATGTATCTTAACAATAATTGTAAAATACTTAAAAACATTTAAGACCGTTTGATAATCATGCATTACGTTTTCAGTTTTCAATTTTTTAATATTAAAAAAACTGTAGCAAACGAGTGCTAGAGAGTTGCAGTACCAAAATGTTCTGGAGACTGATACAATTGTAGCTCAGCATTGTAAAGATCTCCATAAATGATGTTGACATGAGGATGAAGGCTTCGAATCTGACTTAGCTTTGTCTTAAGTAGCTCATTGTGATACTCAGAAAACTTGTTTAACCAGGTAAGACAGCCAGTTAAAGGGTCATATTCACTCTCATCTGAACCCTCATATAAGGTAAGATAACAAGGAATGCAACCAATTGGAGCGTTGCCTGGTACCAAAAGTGTCGATGCCCCATGCTGAATCAACTCCTGCAGAAATAAAAATGTAAAACAACCAAAAGCCTACGTTTCTTAAAAAAAAAATTCCTAGAGCTCCAGTGAAACAAAAATATTTCGGGCATTTAAACCTTTAAATTTTGATTTTTGTGTTTAAAAAAAATATGTGCTATTGAAAATCCCACATTTCATAGCCAATATTGTAAGAAGGATGCATAACTAAAAGCAGATATATATGATATTCCAACTCGTACATTGATGGCTGAAGCCATTGCTTCTATCACGAACGGAACATATGTTTTAACAATTTCCAAACTCTCTCCTGCGAAAAACGGACAGTTGTAATCGTTGCCTGCAATCGGTCCCATAACAATAAGAGAACTTGAAAGGAGATTCCTGCAGTCTGTAAATTAAAGGTAAAAAACATAAGTACATCATATCCAAGATGAAACCTTCAGATTCAGGTCACCAAGTTCAATTATTGAAGTTCTTCACCGAAAAGAACAGGAAAAAAAAATTTGACATTGCAGTTGTTTATCATAAAAGAAAACAAAAGAAAAGTTCGTTTATAGAAGTTGTTACTTCTGTGGCATTGGAAATTGTGGACATGGATCCTCTCCGGATCCAATTGTCCTAATCTTAGGGATCCATCAATCCGGACCGTTGAAATTTGATTTAACAGTTAAAGTTATTATAATTTTTAAAGTGGGCTTCTGTTTGTAGCTGTTGGATCAAATTTCAACGGTCAGGATTGATAAATCCCTAAAATTAGGACAATTGGATCGGGAGAGGATTCATGTCCGGAAATTGTAGTCAATCACAAAAGCAATGCGGGGGGGGGGGACCAGAAACGCTTTCAAAAGTAAAAACAAAAGAAATGAAATGGAATTTAGATGGAGGGGAATGAATGATAGCCAGCTTCTTATTTGCACAATTGCACTTTAATGGTTGAGTCCCCGCTAACTGTTTAATGAAACAGAAAATGATAAATACACATTTTTTTTAATTTTTTTTTATACATTCATACTTAATCATGTTCATATTTTGTTTAATTTATTTAATTCGATGGATAAAAAAAAATGTGCGAGAAACTAAAACTTAGAGAGATGGTCAATATTATCAGACGTTACTATCAATATTCCATCAATATCAATGTACCGCATATATATGTTGCTTTCAAAACTAATACCGGTGCATTATGTAATAAAAACTAGCCTAAGTCCACACACTTTGTGTGCAAGAGCAATTTGTTTACTTTTTTTTTATGATATTTTTATTGAATTGGGAATAGAGGAAAAAAATCATCTTTTTACCATCCTTTAGTTAAGACAGAGAGTTTTGTTATAGATAATATAGATAAAAAGTTATAATCAAAGTTCTATAACAAAAAAAAAAAAAAAGATCCTTTAGTGTACATATTAGGGAAATGAGGCACCTAAATCTACATGATTAAAAAAGTATATATTTAGACTCATTTATAGAAACATATTTAGACACAGAATATAAGGGCTGGTTTGGTATTGCTGTGCTTTGAAAAAAGTTGCTGTGAGAATAAGCGGCTGTGCTGTGAGAATAAGCGGCTGTGAAATAAATCAGCAGAGTGTTTGGTAAACTTTTTTGTAAAAGTGCTTTTGGAAAAAAAAAAAGTCTAATAGTGGGTCTTTTCATTAAAGAAGCACTGTAGCTCCGTGTGCTTTGAAAAAAAGTCAGTTTTCCAAAGCTGCAAATAGCAGCTTTAGCTTTTTCCTTTGATTTCAGCTTATTCTCACAGCAGCTTCCAAAATAAGCCATTTTTTTTCAGTTTACCAAACACCTAAAACCCTCACAGCTTTTTTTCATGAGTGCTTTTTTTTTAAGCACCTCACTTCCAAACTAGGTCTAAGTGTACCTTACTATTTTGTGTGGACGAGTATATAAACAACATAACCCAAAAGAAAAGTCTTGGCAATTGACCTGAAGATGTATTGCATAAAGGTGATAGCATTCCCTTGAACCAGTCCACTTGAATTCTTAGAGAGAAGTTTGTAAATATATCATAACGTCCCATTGGGTCAAGAAAGTCAGTGTCAAGTGCAGTGGCTCCAACAACTGCAAAATTCACACCCTCGTCAAGGTTGCGCACCGTTTCATTGACGTTCAGGATTTCAAGATAAGGTCGTACTAGTGGAAGCCCCATAGATTCAGCTGCAAAAGGTAAAGCCAAAGAGAATCTGAGAAAGAAAAAAAGCAGATCTGTTTTTCTTATGGTAAGATAGATAAGTGGATGCACTGCACATACCAATGAGGTCTATCATTAAACGACCGTCGCAGCAGCGCCCGGTGGGGTGATGAAAGTAGGTCTCCCCATTTGGAGGGAAGAGGAAGTGGTACGGACCCTTATGGTGGTCAAGGGCATAGATGTATTCGTTGCCAGTATCAGCAAGTGAATCCCCAAACCCAATGATAGATGTGTAGCCACAATTCGCGTACGGGATGATCAACTGTTAGGAGAAGGAGGACGTGCATGGTCAAACTTGCCCGATAATACCAAGCCATGTCTCTCTCTCTCTCACTCTCACTTACTCACACGCAGCTTGACTTATATATAGATATAGATATATAGAAGATCTTTAAGGGAATGAATTTTTTTTTTAATTAATTGGGATTAGTTGTGGGACCTATACCACATTGAACTTTATGTACCGTTTGGTACGTGGGACGAGACGGGACGGAACGGGACGAGCTGTTCTGTCCCACGTTTGGTGCGCCTAAAAACTGTGGAACGGGTTGTCCCATAGGACGAAATTTGGCTGATTTTTTGTTCCACCTCTTCCCCCTGGAACGACCCGTTCCACATCCGTGAAACACAAATTTATAACATTTTATGACAAAATTTCTCCTTATCTTTTTCAATATTTACATAATCTGTTCCGTCCCGTCCCGTCCCATCCTGTTCCGTTCCGTCCCGTCTGCGTACCAAACGGTACCTCAATGATTCAAATCATCTATTTTTCAAATTACATCTTATATATTATCCTTATAAAATATTAGCCAAATCAGAAATATTTGAAACATTTAATTGACTTTAAAAAATTTTGACAAAAACTTTGTTGTATAAGAAACAATGAAATTTCATCATAATAGTTAAGTAGACAAATGATTTTGAATTGAATTTAATTTTTGTAAGAATAATCTATGAATCGAAACTTACAAAATAATGGTTCGAATCGTGAAATTTCGATGTAAAGCATATCCCACAACTAATCTCCATTTAAAAAAATGATTAAGGCATGCAATCAGTGCTGCTACCACGTGTAACACGAATAACTGTCACCATGTTGAACTTCAGAAACGAACAAGTCTCTAAAAACTGCAGCTTGCAACTGTAGGTCTACGTGAGGAGGCAGCTGCAGCATGCCTTCCAACCACAAGTCTACGAGAGTAATGCTATATGTTGATACCCCTTTATTTGCTTATTGAGCCTTCAAACTACATGTCTGTGTGAGGAAGTCTATATAGTGATATCCCTTTATTTGCTTATTGACCACACGTTTCAACAGTTCGGGAACTACCACCTCGAAAAGTGGTTTAGGGTTTAGCGTCGCTAGCTACCAATGAAGTCTATGACTACGGAGCAGCGTCCCGGGTGGTGAAAGTAGGTCTCTCCATAAGGAGGGAAGAAAATGTTGAAAGATTTGTTAGGAGAGCTGTTGTAGAAGTTGCCTGTATCGGAAACTGAATCGCCGAAGCTGATGATTGAGCTGTAGCAACCTAGAGCATGATGAGGGATGAATGTGACCACTGACATCACGAGGAGGAGGAGGAGCAGGAGCAGGAGCTATTCATTGACGAATTACTTTTTTGAGTAAATTGTTGCTATATTCCTTTAACTTTAACTCAATTGGAACAATGGTTCCTCAACTAAAAATTTATTACCATTGGTCCCTCAACTCATCAAAACGTGCAGCTATAGTTCCTCAACTTTAATTCAACTGGAGAAATAGTCCCGTAACTTTAACTCAATTGTAGCAATGGTCATTCAAACATAACTCGTTTTGACAAATTTTTTGACGTAATTGACAAAAATGACCATAATTACACACTTTGATGAATTGAGGGACCTTAATTGTATAAATGATCATTCCAACATAACTTATTTTGACAAAATTTTGCCGAAATTGATGAAAATGACTATAGCTACACATTTTGATAAATTGAGGAACTAATGTTAATGAATTTTTAGTTAAGAGGTCATTACTCCAATTTGATTAAAATTAAGGAACAATTTCTACAATTTACTCTACTTTTTTTCCCTCCCTCCCTCAAGTTGCTTCTTAAGCTAAATTGTAATAGTCAAACTGTCAAATTTGTAATAGTTTATGAAATATTCATTGACGAATTACTTTTTGGATTGTTAGGTACACTCATGTACTTTTTGGATTGTTAGGTACACTCATGTACTTTTTAGATTGTTAAGTACACTCATGAGTTGAACCTACCTACAAGCATGGTGTCTCCACAATTTGGGAAAGAAATAATAAAAAGAATTGTGATATTCACGTCACTTTTTATTTTTTACATACTTCTTCGTATTAATTTTTGTTATTTAATTTTTTTTAATTAATTTAATTTGACGGTTAAAAATTAAAAAAATATGTAAAAAGTAAAAAGGAATATATAGATAACACAAACTCCGAAATTTTTTGCCAGTTGTGTTGACATTGATAGCTAGAATGAGTATAACCACAGGTTTAGAGTTGACACTGACATATTACAATGGTGAAACACAAGGAACTAATTGTTGAAATATAAACACAACAAGATAGATTTTTCAATGTGATCGATACACATGATAGTACGTCGCGTGTTATTATACAAATAGTGAGATATATGTGTTAAAAAGTTAATAACTTAAAAAATAAAAAATTTTATAATTTTCTATAAAAACATACGGTGTACCATCCGTATTTCCATCACAAAGAAAAAAATTTCACATACGAGGTACTAATTGTTAAAATATAAATGTTAAAGTTATTATTTTAATTATTTTAATATAAATAATATCGTTTATTAAAAAAATTATTATTTTAATATTATAAATACCAAGACAAATGCTTGGTGTGTAAGAGGCCACATTTGCCAGCTTTAGTTGGAAGATAGAGTTAAATCTCCTCGAAGTAAAAGAGGAGTGTGAAAGAAGAGTGGTTGAAAATATCTTCAACCAAGGGCTTTCTTATTATATAAACTAGCATAGAGCAAATATTTTGTGTGTACGAAGTACGTAAACAATCGTCTATCTTTTTTCACGTTCTCTTCAAGCGTAATCACTTTGGTTCATTCAAACTATCAAAAAAACATCATGATTTTACTTACTTGTATAAAAAAATGATGGTGAGACAATTTCTCTTAATTAGTGCATATTTTTATCTTATGTAAATATTTTGATACAAAATTACTATTTTACCCTTCTTATGTAAATGTTGTGTATCAAAAATGAGGGCAAAATATAAAAAATTGGAATCTGATTGTCATTTTGTCAAAAGTACAAAATTAAAGCCCCTCTTCTTTTAGTAGAATAGAAGATGAGAGAGAGACTGCAGAAATATAAATGAGTGCAACAAGAGGAGTTGAAAATAAGCCCGACTCTGAACATAGAACCGGCAAAGAGTGCAGCAAGAGCTTGTCTGTGGAGTTGAAAATAAGCCTGACTCTAAACATAGAACCGGCTTCTGAGATACAAAAAACACCAACAATCATAAAATGGTACGCCACAGAGAAAACAGTAATTTGACAAAACAGTGCAGGAATTATAAAGGAGAAGAGAAGAGAATAGAGGCTGAAAAGGAAAGAAGAGTCAATATCATTCATCCCCATTCAGAATAAAACACATTATTTATACACATCTGAATAAGGAAACCCTAGCGTCAAACAAGCTGGGCCTTGAGCAAAACTTAGTTGGAGGCTAACAAGTGTGGGCTGGGATAAAGAGCTAAAAGGTCCAAACAAGATGGTCAGGATGGTCCTAACAACTCCCCCTCGCTTAAGAGGAGACCTGTCCTCAGGTCTGAAACTCAGGATAACGGGCAATGATGTCGTTGGCTTCCTCCCAGGTTGCATCTTCTGCCGGCAGACCTGCCCATTTGATTAGCCACTTTGTCACCGCAGTGTTCTTCTTCTTGAACATGCCTCTGTCCAATATTTGTTCAGGTTGCCAGTGAAACACCCCAGTGGTGTCGAATGGTGGAAGGGTAGGATTTGGAGAAGCGGCTGCACCAACCTTCTTTTTGAGCAAAGACACATGGAAAACTGGATGGATTTTCGAGTCATGTGGGAGCTGGAGACGGTAAGCCACGGAGCCAATGCGTTCCTGAATTTGAAATGGACCATAAAACTTGGGTGCAAGTTTGTGTGAATGGCGCATAGCGACGGAATGTTGCCGATACGGCTGCAGCTTGAGGAAGACCCAATCACCCACCACAAATTCACGCTCTGTGTGGTCTTTATCATATACCTGTTTCATTCTATTTTGGGCAAGCTGCAAGTTGGCCCGTAAGAGACGAAGCAAGCTATCACGATCTTGTAAAGCTGCATCCACAGATTGGACTGCAGTTGTGCCAGGGAGGTATGTGTGAATGGATGGAGGAGGGACTCCATACAGAGCTTGGAAAGGTGACATCTTGATGGCGGATTGAAAGGTGGTGTTGTACCACCATTCTGCCCATGGAAGGAGGGAGGACCACTTGGTTGGTTTGTCGGCAGAAAAACAACGAAGATAATGTTCCAAGGTACGGTTGAGCACTTCTGTTTGTCCATCCGATTGAGGGTGATATGCTGATGTATGGCAAAGTTTGCTACCTTGGTGCTTGAAAAATTCTTTCCAAAAGTTACTAAGAAAGGTTGGATCACGATCAGAGACGATGGACTTCGGCATGCCGTGTAGACGAAAAATCTTCTTGATGAAGGTCTCTGCTATTGAGGCGGAAGTGTATGGATGTTTGATGGGAATGAAGTGACCATACTTGGATAAGCGGTCCACCACTACCAAGATGACCGTGTAGCCATTAGAGGAAGGTAACCCGTCGATAAAATCAAGGGCAATGTCCTGCCAAATGCCGCTGGGAATTGGTAAGGGCTGCAAGAGACCCGGTGGCTGGATGTTCTCATGATTTTGTCGCTGACATTCGGTGCAGTGTGTAACATATGTCTTCACATCTTTTCGTATACCGGGCCAAAGGAAGCTGTGTTTAACTCGGTGATAAGTCTGGAGAAAACCCGAGTGACCGCCCTGTAGAGAAGAATGAAATTCTTCTAGTATCTGTTGACGCCATTGTGAAGTAGAGAGGACGAAAATTCTGTTCTTGTAGTAGAGTACACCATTAAGGATTGAAAACCCACGTATGGTTGTATCTGGGGAGTTGAGCAAGGCAGGCCATACATCCTTCACTGTGGGGTCCGTGGCATAAGATTGTTGGAAAGTCGTAATGCATTCAAATATGGGAGAGGAAAGTCCCATAAGTGGTTGTGACTCGGCCTTGCGGGAAAGGGCATCGGAAGCACTATTTTGAGACCCCGGGCGGTA